ATTCAAACTCACCAACATCTGCCACTGATTTCCTGGAACTCTCCTGTCCCGGATACGACTAGTGACCATCCTGCCGTGTCTCCTCCGGCTGTGTCACCACTAACCGAGCTGCAGGATGAGCCGCAGGTTCGAGCCCTTCCAGACCGGCCTGACATGGAAAATAACATGAGTGCAGCAGGCCTGTAATTTCCAGTGGCTGTGACCTTTAATCATATCTTGATCTGCATCCTTCATCCCAGCGTCGGTCAGTGGAGCGATTCTAATTTGAGAGCTCATATGTCTGATCACTTCCCTTGTTTGGTGCTATAGCTTGGAGATGTGTCAAAGAGCCGTGGACGAATGGAAAACCTCATCAGCTGTCTATGCAACCAGAACAGTCCGACATGACTTTGTACTTTATTCATGGAAAAAAGAGGTATAATCTTGACTCATGCATCATGTGGCTTAAAAAACAAAGACACCTGATCACATGTGGTATCTCAATCAAACATACCCAACAGTATTCTGCTGAAAGTTTTAATAACAAACTGGTGAAAAAAAGCATTTCTTTAAGGAGCTGACTTTTTTATTTGGCTTTGTGAAAAAGGAAAAAATCTTTCCAAAAAATCTTTGAAGATCTCAATTATTTCACCGTCATGGCTGCAATTTTACCTCCCCTCAAATATCAACATTTCCAAACATGAATGGTTGATATTTCCTTTCCTCTTTTTGCTTGTGGATTGACAGAACATGACCTCACAGTCAAAATATACTGACAACACAATAGAGGAAAAAACTGTGAAACAGACAAATAAAACTGAATCAAAGAGAGTTCATTGAGTGCACAAAATAGACATTGAAGCTACTACTTAGGAATCACCTGCTTTCCAAAGTTTAAGCTTTTGTTGTATCCTCTGTCTTACAACTACTGTGAATCCCCTTTTTTAACCTTGCAGAAGGACATTGTTAAGGAATGCTGAAGTGCTGCTGAACAAGACACTGAGACCCAAAACCCCCTCGTCGCCTCCTCCTTTTTTTAACTGAAGCTTAGAAACCATGAGGGAGCAGAAAGTTCACGGCTTGTCCTCAGAGTTTAGAGAGTTTGTGTTTACTGCTGTGTTAAAGCCACCTCTGCATGTCGCAGTAAAATGCTGCAGCAGCCTGCGGTGGCTCAGTGGAAACTTACCGCAGCTCTGCAGCCTGCTCTGCTGCTGCTGCTGCTGCCAAATATAAAAAGTGGTGGAGTTTAGTCATGGAGAATGCTAATGATGAGGAACAACGGCTGCTGGCATCCCAACCCCCTCAACTCTCTGTAGTCTTTTTCTTTAAGCTAACATGTTCGGATCATAGATAAAAAAATAAACACTAAATAAACCTGATTCACAATCATGCTGTCAGCCAAAGACATCTCCACCCATTATCCTTTAAAAAGCACTATCATTTCATTTAATTACAGGCTGTAAATCATTTAGTGGATGTCTCAATTAACTGCCAGGCTCTATTAGCATGTAGCGATCACAAAACTATTAAAATCAAACTCTGCAGGCACAATCAAACTGTCAAAGTCCTCAAAATCTCACAGAAACAGAAAAAGCTCTTTAAAAAGTCTCATAAAAAGTGTCTGCCAGGGGCTGCAGGTCCGAGCCAAGCCGCATGAAACCAGGGTGTATTTTAAACAAAGGTTGCATTTTAATAAGGCCAGAGGGTGGCATATAGCAGATAACTGTCGACTTGTTACTGCCGTGTTTGGCGTTCAACACAACGTGCTGCCATGGAAACAAGGATGCCAACTGTTCCCCCCCTTCAACGGTGCCAGACGGCCTGGAACTGTTTGTATGCAAAGAAGTCACAAATGAGAAGTACATTTTAATTACGGGGAAGAAAAAGGAATAGAAAGGCTTTACACAAGACAGTTTATACAACTGCAGGTATTAAAATCACAATCAACAAGCCTCCAACCACAAGGCTGCACACGAAAGCTGATCGCCCTGTATTCCAAACAAAGACATAGATACACAAATTTGATTTAGTTCTCAAATGGCAATTTATCCACAATTCGACAACATAAGTACATCATAACTTAAGGGCTTCTAACTAGCTTTTCCCAGCGCTTTAAACAGCACCTTACCGCTTAGTGAGTAAGCCTTTTTCTTTTTTTTTGTATAAATGAACTTGTGCATGTGTTGCATCATTGCCCAGATCCAGACTGCACTGACCTCTTGCCAAATGATCAAGAGGGAAAAGATTTTGTGTTTGTGCGTGTAAATTAGAGGCAGAATATCTGCGTAAAATCAACAGCACAGTCCTCGTGTGAAGATGATGAACTAAACATCACAAGTTATTGGAAACTGGGCCCAGACCTCCCAGGCACCAAACATGCATCCCACCCATGTTAAACTTATTTTCAGGCAACAGGATTCATGTGGTTATATTTCATAATAGCTGCTGCTGTTTCTTGTAATTGTTACATGTTTTGCAACAAATTTGTCCTACACCTGGTCAGTAAACATTTCTTTTTGCATTTGATCGTACTGAAGACACTTAGAGTAGAGTTTGACTGTTGATGTTTTAGTTTCTGCTTTTTGCATTTTATTGCCAGTTTTGACAAAAAAGTTCCATTTTGCAGCCTGTGTTAGTCAAAAGTAGCATCCAAAATAAGCAATTGCATAAATATTAAGTGCTTTGTTTGATCCTTGCATTTAAAAAAGTGCACCAGACTCTTCTTAGCTTCTGTAGTTGATTTGTCACTAGTTTTTTTTTAATCTTTAAAATCTGTGGCTTTATGTTCAAGTGCTTTTCCCTTTTTGCATAAAGTATGAACACTAAGATTGTTTTTCTTTCTCTCTCTCTCCAAACCCCAAACGACAAACACTGAAATGAAAAACCCAGATCATGTTTCTCGCTCCTTCTCGTCATTATTTCCGTCCAGAAGAATCTTGATGCGTGACAGTTCATGTTTACAACTGCGATGTTGGAAGTCAGCAGTGAATTACACAACCTGAGGAGTCATGACGAGAAGTCAAATGAAAAATAACCAAAAAGTTCCAGTTTACACTAGAACCTGACAGATGTTTGGGGAGGAATATTGTGACTTCTGAGCTGTGTTTTTCAGTTTGGCCAGTTGGGTTCCTGGCGTGCCGGAGCAAGTTAGTCACTGAGAACAAAAACACAATGATATATCACCTGACATTTTCTTTATTTAACACAATGAACAATACAGAAATCTTTCAGGTTCATGACCCCGTAAAAGCCGGTTCACTTCACTGTGACAGAGTGTAGGAGGACATGGCGACTGACCACCAAATGGACAAAACATTAAATAAATATGTACACAAACCTGTGACTTTCATCAGCACATGCAAAGTGAAGCAAGAAGAAAAGAAAGTGAACCTTCACCTGCAGATTACCGCCCAGCGACAGAGATAAATTCACACTTAGTGCTGCCAAGTTGTGTGTTTTTACAATGTCAACCAAAATGTGACTGATGTTAGACTTTGTTTTCAACAGATGTGACAGCACAGTGCTGGGAAAGTCTCCTAAATGTCAGTTTCTCAGGGAGAGCTTTTACTTTTGACCACCAGCTATTTCAAGGCCAAATAAACAAAGTTAAAGTTTCATGAGATGTGTCTAAATCCAGAGTGGAGAGCTCCCTGAAGGACACAGCCGAAGGGAAACCTGACGAACCTGCATCTCTTTTGAAAAAAACGAACTCTAATCGATAATAATCGACAATAGCCAATGGGAGGTCCCACTGAGAGGTGTAACAGAGGTGAAGAGGAATATACAATAATGGGCACAAATGTCCCAAAATAACCCCCTGAAGTTGCCAAGCAAAAGATGACAAAGAAATTAAAAAAAATAGGCAGCTTCCTGCTCTTAAAATACGTCCATAAAAAGCCAGCTAGATTTAAAAAAAGCAAAACTTTGTCTGTGTTTTGGACTCATCTTCACCTGAGAGAAAATACAAGTCACTACTGTGTTAAGTCACTAACAAGTTTGGAATTAATTAAATCACCAATTAAAATATTGTTTAATAATAATAGCCCGATGTCATGGTACATATGTCCCTGAACTCATGATTTGGAGTTAACGTTTATAGACAATATATTTACTGGTTGAAACTAAAGCCTCCACAACTGACCTTTAAAGAAATGTGAGAAAGTTAACTGGTTCCCAGAGGATTATGGGATACTGAGTTCTCTTAGTATGAACACGTGTCCTCCTAAAGGAAAATGACTGTAGGAGATGTTGTGAAATTTCTGATCATGATTTATTGATTTTTATGAAGCAATCAATAAATCATCAAGACCGTAGCAGATATCTTGATTTGTTTGACTTGCTTTGTAGTATTTTTAATAAGATGGATTTGATTTGGCACCTTCATAGTACTTTAAATATTTACATATTTTTTCCTTTCTTATTTAGAAGTTTAGATTTAAAAAAAAAGTAATAATGCAAAAATGAATGTGAGTAGATGTAATTATAATTTCAAAACAAATGTTTTCATTTAATCTGACAAATAATCTATACAAATACATAAATACAAAAATTATATTATTATAAATTATTTATTATTTCTTTACAATTATTAGGTTATTATTAGTAGTATGTTTATATGTTGATTTTGTTGTTTATATTATTGTTTATTTAATAAAACTGTAAAATAATAAATACATAAATACAAAAATTATATTATTATAAATTACTTATTATTTCTTTATTATTATTATTGTATTATTAGTAGTATATTTATATATTGATTTTGTTGTTTATATTATTGTTTATGTAATAAAACTGTAAAATAATAAATACATAAAATACATAAAAACAATAACTAAACGCCTTCTTAAGGTCGTACTGGTCGGAATGCAGTTTTCCGCTCGTCCTCGCTCTGCGGTCCCGCTCTCATTTGACCCACATTCGGTCCACCTTAAATATTTCTGCTCTCGCGTTTACAGTGACTCGCGTACACGCGCACGCTGCAACTGGAGCGCGCAGCAGCAGTTCTGTCAAATCACAACGGGGGTGACGCACAGGCGGAGGACTTCTACCAAACTCCTCCGTTTTTTGCCGTCTAAAAGTCTCCGTGATCGCGTTGATCCGGTTTGGAGATTCTTTAGCGACGGATTATGAACCTTTGCGGTCATTGGTTGACCTCGGATGGACGTTTGAAGCAGCCAAACTAAACCAAAAGTGCGTTTTTCCAACCAAGAGGCGCACGAGATCTACGGACGTAACCGGAGATTTTACTTTTGGATTTTTTTCAGTTTTAAGTTTTTTTTTTCCAGGAATGTGAGTCTACCGGGCCCTCTTGGACCCGTTAACGTTTTCACTTTTATCCCGGGATAAATCCACTTTTTATTAGTTTGTTTGCTCTGAGTTCACCATGCTGGCGAACACGGCGCTTTACGCAGCGAAGAAACGGAAGAAGCCGGTGCAGAAAATGTAAGTCAACAAGTTGAAAAGCACATAAATACCTGCTAATAGTCGATTATATCCACATATAATCATGTAATGTGTGTTTTTGATTGACTTTCCGCTCCTTTTAAGTCTCTATGGTACTCCTGACTGTACTTTCAGTTGGTTTGGTCACCCTGTTGTACTTTTACTGCAATACTTTTGCAATACTCCTTTACAGAAACTTTGCTTCTGCCTCAGTTGTGAATGCATGCAGCTTTAAAGGTGCACTCTGTAGATTTGGTAGACAAATGTAAAAGCTGGAGAAGTGTACAGATTCTTTGGTACATGTTCATAACCTTTTTTTTTCCTTTGAATAGTTTGTGTATTTAGTCCAGAAAAAAATATAGCATAGAATTGTTTCACTTCACAACCAAATCTAGATAGTGCACCTTTAAACACATGTCACTTATTTTTTATTACTATATTTTTCCATAAAAGGTCATTTGTAATTGGCCCTTTGGTGCTTTTATTGCATTTTAATTATTTTTCAGTATATAGAGTTGTCACAATACCAGATTTTAAACTTCGATATGATTCTAGTGGAGACCAAACGATATGCCCTAAGCACCCAGTATCTGGTAATTTGTTGTTTATTACATAAAATGCAGCAAAATTCATTCACAACTGTCTAAATATGACAAACAGGAGCAGCTTATGACTGAAGATCTGATTTCAGTACTTTTAAATATGATGGATGATTAAAATCGAAGAGATTGTAACCTTGAAAAGTTAATACATGTGGTATTGAAAGAGCATTTTGACAACCTTAATTCAAACAGGCAATTATTGCAGCCCGGCAGGAGATACTTCTGTAGACGAGTTACAGCTGTGCAAACATCTCCAGACTTAGTCACACATATGCATTACAGCCTGTCTAACACGGTAATAAGAGCAGTGTAGTAAGTTGGTCTCTGTCCTTGCAATAGACGCTACATTGTCTTGAGTTGGATCCATAAGGCCATAAAGTCTATTTTCCCTGCTTGTGGTTATGCAATGTTGGCCAGCCAGACCGAGGTAATGTGAAGTGCTGAAGTCCAACAGGCCTACTGAGGGTGGAAAATACAGAAAAGTGTTGCTTCAGGATCATTTCAATCTAATTATACCAACTGAGACAGCTGTGCTCTCCAGGCCGATTCCTGCAACCGCTATAAAACTGAATAAACTCTTTAAACATTCTCATCTGAATAAACTTTCACTTTTTATTCATGCAGAGTTTTTAAAAGTCAAATTGCGGCGCCACCTTCCTATGATCGTCCTTTTTGCATGAATTAAATCTCTCCTTCTTGATTCCTCCTGGGTTTCTCCTCAAGGACCCTAGGTGGGCCCCAGACCACAGTTTGAAAACCACTGCTGCACATTATTCTTCTGGCTTGAATATGCTGCAGAAAAAGAGCTTTGTGCATAAAGAGGAAGCCTTGAACGGGTTCTGTGAGGAGCCTTTTAATGATTGTTTTCTTCCTTTGTGTACTTCTGTGTTGTGTCCGATACTGTTACGTCTGATTTCTCATGACGTTTAAGAACCCTCCCAGAGGTCTTTGGACCCCCTGCACCCCCAGAGGAGCACATACAGACAATCGTTCTTTAAGATTGGACCATAAAAGGACCCGTATGACTCAATATTGAGACTCTGATAAGTGTCTTTATCTTTTTATATTCGACAGACTTTGAAAGTATGAAGGAAGATTACTCTAACGCGTTTTAAAGAACCCGTTTAATGTGGGACACAAAAGTAAAAGTGATTCTGATGCCACAGTGTGCTTTGACTCCATGTAGAGAGAAAGTATCAGAGGAATGCACTATACAGTTTTTAATCTGTCAGAAGTTTTAGAAGAGTTTGATCAAATCAGTTTCAGAGACCTTTCTTTTCTACAGCAGCTGCCAATTATCATAGATTCATCATAATACATAAAAGAAGCCTTTGGCGAGGTTCTCTAAACAACCATTAGAGAGCAAATTATAGACCCTGTGGTGATCCAAAGAACCTTTTTGGGAGAGGTTTCCAAACAGTTTATCGTAAGCCCTTTTTGATGCCTTAAACACACAGAGGTTCTTTAAAGCATGATGCTCGATTATTTGACAATCAAAACTACTTGTCGTCATGTTCTGCAGATAATCGTGCTCAGAGAGTGAATGCTGGAGAGGTCATGTCCAGAACAAATCCAGTATTACTGAACTGATGTGGTTCAACAAAGAGTCTTTTTTTAGAAAATTCTGTAAAGGAACATGCTGAAACCTTTTAAAGTGTCATAAGTACCTAAAGGGTTCAGATAAATCTTGTTAATCACAATGCCAATCATCTAAGGCCTTGACTTGTATCTTTAGGAAACCTTGATAGTGAAATCAGGGAGAGATAGCGGTGAATGAAACTTGGGAAAGCAGCCACAGGTTGGACTTGAACACTGGACAACATCCTTTGAAGTAAACCAAAAATAATGTTTTAAAGGTCACATATTCTCCTCCTCTTCAACCAGTTTAAATAAGTCTCAGAGTTCCTCAAAACATGTGTGTGAAGTTTCTTGTTCTAAATCCACTCTGATCCTGTATTTGATCATGTCTATAAACCCCTCTATTTCAACCCTGCTCAGAACAGCCTGTTTCTGTGTCTGTAGCTTTAAATATGCAAATGAGCTGTGTCTGACCACGCCCCCTCTCTGGAAGGATTTGGGTGTACTCGGTGCTTTCTCGCTTAATGCCCTATTGTTTACGGTGAGAAGGCAGACTCAGAGGGCAGAACAAACACCTAGCTGTGGGAGTGTCACCCACCTGGGGGAGGGGCTACTGCCCTTTGTGATGTCACGAAGGGAAAATCTCCAAACAGCCTGTTTGAGCACACATTTTCTGAAAAGTGGAGCAGGCAGAAGACGGAGAGGATGGACTCATAATTAGGGGGTTTGACAGACTAGGGACACATGTGAGGTGATGATGATGATATGTGACCTTTAAGAGAAGCCATTCATTGAAACGGTTTATCAAATAATGAATCCCAGACCCTTTGGGTGCTGTTGAGAACCGTTTTTGAGAAGTAGTGGACTGAAACAGTTAATCTAAGACCCTTCATGATGCTTTAAAGATGATTCTGGAGGAGTATTGTACTAAAACAGTTAATCTAAGACCCTTCATGATGCTTTAAAGATGGTTCTGCAGGAGTATTGTACTGAAACAGTTAATCTAAGACCCTTCATGATGCTTTAAAGATGGTTCTGCAGGAGTATTGTACTGAAACAGTTAATCTAAGACCCTTCATGAGGCTGTGAAGAACCCTTCCATAACCTCCGAGCTTCTCAGTCCTCCTCGCTGTGATTTTACCAGTTTGTGATTTTAAAACTTTAACAAGCCAGACGGAGTGTTAACTGCTCCATACAGAACCACAGCCCCCGCGCAGAGATTCACGGCAGAACCCTGCCAGAACCGCGGTTTCAGTGTGTGTGTGGTACTACCTGCATTAATCATAATCAGGACGTGGAGCGAGAGCGCTCTCACGCGATGTTTCCATGAGGGAGGAGGGAGGGAGGGAGGATGGCGTAATCTGAGACTCGCTCTGTTTTTTTCTCTCCTCCTCCTCCGACTGCCACAACATACTTTTTTCCTGTCTTTCCTTCTGTGTCTCTGTGTGTTTTTTTGGGGGGTTGTTTCTTTCCTCCCTCCCTCAACACAAATTAACATAGTTCAGTGTCACGCAAACGGTTATGTAAGCCTGCCATGTTCTCCCGCCCGAGTTTTTGAGGAAAAGTTTCTCTCAGGGAGTTTATCTTTCTTTTTCCTTTGGAGTGAGTTATGAGTGTGAGAGAGAGTCTGTTTAACCCACAGACGAGACTCGAGGCGGCGTTACAGCGCTGCAGCCTCAGGCACTTTACCTTTATGTTTACATGCTTTGTAAAAGTAGAACATTTGAATTTATGGTAATGTCCGTCTGTGTGTGTGTTTGTGCTCGATATATGTAGATAATTAGATGTCCAAAAGTGAGTGCACACTAAAATCACACTCATCTGTGTTACTTTAAGTCTAATTTCAACATCCAGAGTGGTAAAAGCCTCTACTTTATGGCGTTAAACCAGTTTTTTTGGATCCTGGCTGCAGGGATTTGCTCCCATGCAGCCACAAAAGCCTAAATAAGTTCCAACTCTGATGCTTGAGGATAAGGTCTGGCTCTTTGTCATTTTTCCAGTTCATGTTTAAAATGTTGGATGAGGTTGAGGTCGAGGATTTGGTTCCATATCCCTGATTCCCCCTCTTTTTTTTTTGACTGTGCAGACATCCAAGAGAAAGAGAAAATCGAGTTATATGTAAAAATGTGCAAATCAGAGATGAGTTAAGATCCTCTGATGCTTTTTTTCTCTTGTTTGTTTTTATATTTTTTTATTTATTGATTCTTCTGTGTTAAAGTGGTTGAATGTGTGATAACCGCCTGTAATCTGTCTCCACTGTTTTCTTACTAATAAGCTGATAATCATCAAACACGGCGTCTGTGATAACACAGGTTTAATGTTACACGACTTGGCTGTGCATGCTCATATCATTCACCTTGTTGATAGTTAAACACTTCATGCACAGGAGGCGATGTTGGTCTGTAAACTTTATTCATTGTGCACTCATCTGTTGACTGTTTGGACATTGCATCGCTGCTTCCTGTCCAAAAAAATCTAAACTTTCAGGATAGAACAGGGTCCGTTAACATGTTTGCATAAGGCATGCACTGCACTTTGCACAAATACCTGCGTCAACACCGAGGAGAACTGGAGTGCAAACACAAGCAGCTGATTTGTTAGAGACGCTAGATTCAAAAGGTCAAATGTCCTCGTCTGTACGGCCAAACCTTCAGCAGTGCACAGTGTTCACTTCTCCCAGTGGGATAAGCAGAGTTTATCTCATCTAATTATTTCTTGATTTTTCCTCCGTCTTCTGCAGCCGTAACACAGAGAAGCAAACTCTGCAATCAGATGAATGAGAGGGTCACAGAGCTGTGACAAACTCTGTGGTGAAACCCCTGCAGCAATATCAGCGCACGACAATCTCAGGGTTTTAGAAATGACACTGAGTCAAGTGATCATGTTTTCACCAAACAAGGCTTCCATATATTTTACATCAGAGCAAAAAGTCTGCGTAATAGGGGTGCTTAGAGAATGGTTAGTGCATGCCCGGGTTTCTAATCCAACCTTTGGCTATACTTTCCCCTCTCTCTCTCTCTCCACTGTCCTGTCTCTAAAATAAAGGCATAAAAGCCCCAAAACAAGCCTTTAAAAAAGTCTGCATAACAAATGTGTCCAGTAGATGAATACGCCCCTGGTTGTCCCTCCTGTTTTTGATCTTAAAGTGTCAGAAGAGTTTTAAGAAGCTGCAAAAGTGAAGAGCAACACAAACAATCTACCATTTCTACTGTAGTGTTGAAATTGTATAAAACCTGCATGCACTTGTGATTGTTCAAATTCACTGTTGTCCAGCAGGTGAGCTGTTGTGCAACAAGATTTTTGTTTGACAGCAGAAAAGTGGAGCTCAGGAGGGAACTGGTCAGGAGGGAACTTGTCAGGTGTCTCTGCTGGTTTGTTTGTTTTGGTTGTTATTGAATCCGAGGTCATGCTGAGGGTTGTGAGACAGACTGGTGTTTCTCTTATGACCGACATGTGACAGACAGCAGTCTGTAAACTCTCACTTCAACCCAGATGTTACGACACCGCTGTAGTTCAGAACTGAGAGGAAGCTGCTGCTCGGAGGTTTTTATCCAACGCTTTCATTTATTTTGCTTTGATTGATTCTGATGCAGAAATGTCTTGTTGAATTAAACCCGGGAATCTTTTCAGGTCATTTCATCACATTTCCACTCAGTTGACTCTGTTGGGTTTGCTCGCCAATGTGTCCTGAAACCCTTTTTAAACAACCTTAGTATGCTTTACATCATGTGATATTTACTTATTTATTACTTGTTTATTTAAACTTTTAACATTTTTTTTGATCTGTTATCCGTAAAGATAACAAAAAAGCTCTTTGAGTTCTGTAAAAAGGCGGGAAAAGAAATCTAAATAAAACAAATATTCCTAGAATTTAAAAACCACACAATAACATGTGAGATATGGGCACAAGCTCATAAATACTGGCTATGTGATCGGCTTTTCGGGTCTGTTATCTCTGTGTCTGTATCATAACTCCAGCTGGGAACCGACGCCAACTTCATATTTAGCTCCTTTTGTTCTGCAAAGGTGTCGTTGCCTCTTCGGAGACAAAGTGCCTTTGTGTGAACACAGGGGAGTGTTTCAGCAGGTCCAACACAACACACACACACACACACACACACACACACACACACACACACTCATATATAGATCCACGCCCCTTCCAGGACTGATGGAGTAGATAAAGTGAGAAGAAACAACACTGGCCGCTCATTGTTCTTGTGCCGGCAGGAATGCAGCGATAGTCATCTCGGCCTGATTTCAGCAGATCTGTCGTGTTCGGGGGTATTATTGGAAGCAGATGTCTTATTTACAGGAGGGGGGGAGGGGGTTCACATTTTACACATTCATGTTACAGTTACAGTTCAGACAGATGCTCACACAGCTTCCCTGACACACTTTATACTTCGAACATCTGGAAGAGGTCGTCGACTTTACAAGAGCGAGATTTAAGGTGTGAAATCAGAAATCTGCGAGCACAAAAAGTCCATCTGCTCATTTCTGTTTCTGTTACACCACCAGGCCCCTTTCCATATTTAACCACAAACTTTATGTATTGCACAATCTACTTCGTGCACGAGTGGTCGTGACTCTTTTCAAAGGAATTCTGGTCCCCTTTGGGAGCGATAAACAAGTCGTGCATCTGGTGATCCAAACGTTTTGTTTAACAAGCTTATTTGCAACAGACTGGTTTTGTAGTTGTTGAAGTTGATTAATCTCAAAATCGTTTTATATTATATGTAAAGGTGAAACCTGAAATGTTTGTCTTCCATGTTGCCGGGCTTTTTGTTGGTCGCTCTTTCCTGAAACTCGTGGCTGCACATTTTAAAGCACAAATCTACGAGCGATCCCGAGGTCAAAGGGTCAAACCCACAGTGCCAGAAAGTATGAAGTTATGCAGGTGCACACACACTGGCCTCACCTGACCTGAGATCCCTTCAGGAGGAACATCTGAACCTGATTTATCTCCAGGTGCCGCTGCTCTGAGGGAGATCGACGTGTAACCAACACAGAGGTCACGGGTTCGATTCCCCAATCACACAGGCGCCACAGAGAAGATACCGACACCTGACACACGTTTTACGTTTTATTTCGTTTGTTGTAGATTCCTGCACAGATCCAGAAATGTGTGGCGAGGGTTTGTTTGCCCTGAGCTCGGGCTCACAGGCTTACAGGTTTATGTACCTGATAGTTTTGACTGTTTTCTTTAATGCTAAGTCAGACTCAATGAGAGAGAGAAAAGATGTTAAAATGTGACGCCCCCAGCCTGATGCTCGTGGCACAGAGATGCTTCAGATGGCTTTAAGTTAAACTCCTTTTACTGATGAAGACGGTTTGATGCAGCTGAAAGCTCCAGGGGAAAAGGAAGACAGTTTGAGATCGTTTGTCAGAATTTCACACCTTTTATATCTTATGTTTAGACATTTTTTATTTGACTTTATTCAACAACAAATACCTTGATTTTGCAGACAGAATCTGGTGAAATATTATAATACTCATACCCAGAATACCCAGAATCAGAGTGAAATATTTCATCTGTTTGGATGATATCATTTGTGGTTGGAAAATCACAGAAATGTCACAAGTGTGGTGCTTTTTCTGTTCAGTAGAAAGCAGAAGTTAAGATGACTTATTATACACTTATCACATTAACAGGAATCTTGTTTTCTCTTCTGACTCAAAGGGAAGTTTGTCTGAGTTTAAAAATGCATCCTTCAGGTGAATTAATAGAAACTATTTTTGAAATGTGGGGAAGTTCCTTCAGAAGTCCCTCAACCTGTTCTGGTGTCCTAAAGGTGACTTAAAGGTATCTCCAGGCCACGTTCGAGCCGCTCCACCGCTTCACACCCTCTCTGTAAAGAAAAGAAAAGAAAAGCCTCTCTGTGCGGTGAACGTCTGGTTTGAGTTAAAGACGAGGAGCTGTCGGGTTTACTGCAGGTCACCAGAGTTCAGATACAAACTGAAACCTGCAGCCCAACAAGCTGAACCATGATTTACCTCTTCATGCACGTTCAACAACAACAACAACAACAACAACATCACTTCCTGTTGGTGGAAGACGGTGATCACATTCCACTCTCCTGTTCTGTGAGTTCTCAGATATGCTGATGGTACTGTCGTTACACCGGAGTTGCTGAAACAGGAAACACTTTTCATAAAGCGATGAATCAACTTTGCCGAGGTTTGAGGTTAGAAAAATGAAGTATGTGTGAAATGACGGAGCTGTTCTTACTGGAAATAACTTTGTAAGCTTGCATTTATTCTCATTTTTCTCTTTTTATTATCAGTTAAATAATCAACATTTCCTTTGCCTAGCGCACGTGATGGTGTCTTAAATTTGATTATTTGAACACCTCATTGTGTTAAATATGACCTGCATCAAATCCTCATATTTTCATATATGAGGATTTGGATATATTTGGATCGGGTAAACATGTTTCTGAAGTTAAATTAAGCATCTTCAGAGTGCCATGATGTCTTTCAGGATGGAAAAGAGCGTTTAAAATCACATTTCGAGCATCGAGAAGCGATGAAAACAGACTTAAAAAGCCTTGAAGTACATGGCATCCGATGAAGCTCAATAGATAAACACGATGCTAAAAGGTTTTTCTGTCTGTTTGTCTTTGAGTCTTTGTGAGCAAAACATCCTGACCTCCTCCAGACTCTGGGATATTAAAGGCAGAGGAATTACATCTTTTAACCTTTCAGTTTAACGACTGTCTGGGTTTAAATTTGACCTTTTTCGAGGGAAACTCTTCACTTCCTCTCACTCTCAGATTTGTAAACTGTGGTACTCAAACCACTTCAACAGTACTCAAAAATCCCCCTCCTCCTGTGAGGTAGAAGTCCTGTTTGTTGTTGTTGTGCCCGTTGGGTAACCGTTAAGCAGGCTCTAAAAAGGACCAGGTGAGACTGGCAGGCGGCTGCTGACCCGGTTGCCGCGGCAACACTGGAGGAAAGCAGGTGGACTGTGCCTCCCAGAGAGAGAGAGACGGGAGAATATCATTCTTAAAGTCTGATGATATAGTAAGGTCACTTTATCATTTCAATAACTACACATCTCACTGATTGGACGTTTAAAAAAGCGTCTGAGGCTTAAATTGAATGTTGACGGAGCAGAGACTGAAGAAGCTGTTTGTGTCTCTGCTCGCTGTGTGTTGCCAGTCGGCTGTGTGACATCACTGCTGTTGTCTTTGTTTATCCCAGCTGCTGTTGCACTGATGGACGTCAGTACTGATTTAGCCTCAGCTTGTTTTTATACCCGACAGGAACTCAAGCTTTGCATCTCCGGAGAAAACGACCTTTTTTAAAAACGATTGTTGGAAGTTTGAAGACATTTTTTTTCTGTTGTTTTTTTTAATGTGTGAATTCTAATTAGTTGCCGTATTTTTAACTTCTTTTTCTTCTTCTTTCTGTTCCCTCCAGCCCCAAACCTCCGCCTCCCGATGGCGCCAAGTCCAACCCGTCCAAACGCCACCGCGACCGCCTCAACGGCGAGCTGGATAAACTCACCAGCCTGCTGCCCTTCACCGAGGAGGTCCGGGCTCGGCTGGACAAACTGTCCGTGCTCCGGCTCAGCGTCGGCTACCTGAAGGTCAAGAGCTTCTTCAACGGTGAGTTTGTAAACGGGTTCACGGCGTGTTTTTACCGACTTGTAGACGCACTTTTCCCACACTTGACAGGAAACATACAGAAGGGGCTACATCCTCAATGTAAGGCAGCTGCTGTGTGAGAGGATGTGATATTTCTGCAGGAACGGGAAGGAGGAAGAAAAGTGTTGGAAGATATATTTTATCACTTTTTTGCTGTCTAAGCCTGAAGCTGAACGTTATGACCATCCCGAGCACCAAATACCTTTTAATATTTCACTTTTCTCAAACTTTATGGACATAAAACTCAAATAACAAAGATGAAATTTTGCACCTTTAGCTGTTTTTTAAAATCTAGACTGACATTAAGATCTGTACTGTGAATCACAAAAATCACATCCGCTCGTGTGTTTCTCTGAGGTTAGCTGAGAGTTTTGGATTTTGACTGCAGATAACTGAGAGGAAAACAACGGAGCCGAAGAAGCTAGATGCAAAAACTAACCAAATAAGAGAGAGTTTGTGCAGTGAGTGTAAGAGTGGACTCTTCAACTTTATTAGATTTAAACTTTTGATTGAATTATGAATGGAATTCTGTGTGAAGCTCAGGATGATTCACGGCGCTCTTCAGAAAAACAAGCAGAAAAAGGAACATTTCTAACAGAGATAAGTGATTTCTTCTCTTCTTGCTGATTTTAATTTGAATATTTTATCGTTTAAAATTTTTTTTTCTGCAGCTGTGTTTGACCAAAACTACAAAAACTTCCAATAAAAAGTGGTAAACAAGGTTAAGGGAGCACAGGGAACATCATCAACCTTTGAGTAAACTGCTCATATTTTCACTTTACTGGCTCCATAATGAGGAACTCTTTTCTGGAATCAATGGGAGTTTTTGTTCCGCAACAGTCCTGGCAGCAAACTGAGGCAGATATCTCATCGGCTGACAAGAAATCAATGAGTCACTGCATTGACTAACGACCTGATCAGAGCCCTGCAGACATGCTGTGGTGCGTTGTGCTCTTAGTAAGTCACAAAACGTGTAAGAACGACGCGTCTTCGAGCGCGCCGCTTTGGACTCATCCATTATTTGGCAGCGTTGGTCACTTAGTGTTGGCTGAACAAAATGAACGTTTGGAGGCCGAGCGGGCGTCTGGTGTCTGTCAGACGACTCCTGCAGTGACGGCCGAGGGCGCGGGCTCTCGTAGATTCTCCCTGTTTTTATCACTCAAATATTCCACATGAAGGCAAAGAATCTGAACCAGAAATAAGATCATGAACAGAGCCGTCCTGAAGGTGAAAAGATCTGATTCCATCACACCGACTGAAACGTGCAGAAAAGTTTCTATTTTTTTTCCTCCAGGTTTTCACTCTGCCTCTTGAGAACTTCTCCCCCACCCTCCTCCTCCCCCTCCTCCTCCTCCTCTCATGTCTTGGCAGCTGATCCATCACCCTCCCCTCCCACCGAGCCCCACCCATTTCCTGTGGCGGCCCCTGCAGCACCCCGGGGCCCCCTTTTCCTTCAACTGTTCAGCCTTTTTCCTCAACGGCTCTGAAGTTCACATCTCCCCTCCTCCCTCCTCCTCCTCCACCTCAAACAAACGCTGCAGGAGTCCAGTTTGTTGCTACAGCGGGGAGGCCTGTTCGCACGGCAGGCCTGCACACGGACAACTCGGCGCTTTATGCATTCATGAAGCTCTGCAGCACACACCGATCTCTGCTGCTTCAAAGCTTTCTCTTTAAGCTGCGTTTAAAGTGCATTGTGGTGCATGTGATTATCCACATTTAAGGATTATTTAAGGCGCTCAGAAGTTCTCATTAAGGCCGCTTTTGAAGTTTTATCTTTCCCGATATAATGACACGTTTCTTTGTCTACCTGCAGATGAATCCAGGGAGACGAACGAGCTCTGTCTGCTCTTCTCAAACGTGTTGTTTCTTTTCACCTGATGCCTTGTATTGCTCTTCATCATCGTCATAGTAACACCACTTGAATCTGCTGCATATTTTTGCCTGTAAGGTCGGACAGTCTGCTTTTATAATGGGACATTATAGCAGAGCGCCCAAGACAGAATTCTCAGGGACATAAAGCGTGTCTAATCATTCAAGTGAAGTCACTCATTTTTAACTTCGTCGATGTACCTCTGTTTTTTTAAAAGGTTTGTCAGAAATGGCTTCGTTGTTGTGCTGCAGTTTTTGGTCTGATAGTAACAATCATCTGTTGTTCCTGCGTCTCTTAGTTTCTCTGCTCCTCTCTAACTCTGATTAATAAACGGCCTTTAAAACATCCGACGTTGAAGTTTAAAAAGCACTTAAAGAGTCCCATAAAATAAAACAAAGTCAGGGGAGCAGGAGATTAAAGCACGAGGAGCGTTGGGAAGGAATAATCAAATAAAAGCTTTCATATTAAACTGATACTGAAGCTATACAGCTGCTCAAATGAAGATTTCATGTGACATGGAAGCCGTGTTGACTCGATGCTGTTCACTGAGGTGCTGAGGTGTCCTGGTAGTCCAGGTTCAATCTGACAAAGGTGTTCGCTGTCAGAGCATTTGTTTTTAAAAGTAAACGTTTGAACCTGTCGGAGGAGCAGTCGTCTGACAGCGAGCCGGCAAAGTGAATTTGATATTCTTCATCTTGAAGCACAGACGGAGCTTTTCCAACCTCAGCATCTGAGGAAAAGGAGATACTTTTCATGCTGAAGTTCAACATGTGCACAAACACAATATTTAGATCTGCATTTGGAGAATTTAATTCCTGATATGTCTAAAAACAGGACTGCATGTAGGAGGAGGTAACGGCTGAGAAAGAGGTCTGGATGTTTTATTTCCCAAATCACCGACATGAACGTTTCCTTTGTTAGCTTCTCAGTGCACAGTCCAGACACCCTGCACTGTGTGTGTGTGTGTGTGTGTGTGTGTGTGTGTGTGTGTGTGTGTGTGTGGCCTCTGTGCCGTCCAGACGCTGATGGCTGCAGGAGTTCATCAATTAGATCATTCTTCACGAGGAATTCAGACAAACCACAAGACCTCCGCGGCTGAGAGAGTCTGCAAACAAAGAGGAGCGTCCTGGTCTGTTATTCAAACAGAAGACGATCTCGTTGTGATAGAAATCTGGAGGACGGGAGGACGGGAGGACGTCCACATACAGCGACTGAAACCTGCGTTTAAAAAAAGAAAGAAGAAGTGATTCATCTGAAACAGACATAAAGACGTCCACAGTCTATAAACAGGCCGAGTGTCTGTGGCTGCGGTGGCGTACCCAAAAAACACCAGAGACTGTCTGATGGTGAATTTCCCAGCATGCCTCTCAGTGAACAAAGATGACCCGGGAGTGCAAAGGCTCATGGGAAGGCCAGGCCGTCTGTTGGCTCTGACAGGATGTGGCTGAGAAAAGAACGCTGTGTGTCCGTCCGCCGCCCTCCCTCCGGGCTGAGCCGCAGGACGAGCACAGGGGCCGATGGGAAATGCCCGAGGGTTCGATCCCATGAACGCCGCTCACAACAACGGCTTTGTTCAACACTGAGGCCGATCTCTGAAGCAGACTTCAGACGCGGCAGACATTTCTGACCTCCGTGTGTCTGTCTTTCTTTCCTTCGACTCCAGACGATTAAAAGAGACGTTTAATGTTTTGTTCACTTCTAAATATCCTCTAGTGGACGGTTTAAACATCACACGTATAAAGAAACCAAATCAATGAAGGCTTAAAGACAGAAAGCAGCGACAGAAAACAAGACGCAAAACAAGGTGATGGTCGCCAAGACAGGACGGTCAACAGAGGCACAAAACCCAAAAAAAGAAAACAACAACAAAGAGAAACTACACATCCAAAAGAGCTTCAAGTATCCACAAAGAAGTTAGAAAAAGAGAAACCAAATAACCATAAATTGGCAAAACAACCAGAAAAACACAAAAAAACAACATAAATAGACACAAAACAATAAAAATAAACATAAAACAAGAAAGAGCACAAAGAGATAAAACAACTATAAAAACAAAAATGAAGCAAGATGAGTGGACGAACATGTAGAACAACATGCTGCTGGTCGTTTCTCTGTGATTTTATAGAAAGGATCTCAGTATCTAAGGTCTGATAGGTCAACATGAACGCCCTCCTGAAATCTGGATTCTGACTCGGAAGCTCTGAGGAACTTCAGTAGTCTGAGTTCAAATCCAACGAGGCCGTTGTGTGCATCAACAGGAACGTTTAAGATGTATCTGATGTGTTTATTACCACCTCAGCGAAGGTACTCCATGTTGCTCGTCCCACTTGAACCCGAGTGTGACGTCATTCTCAGATCTGACTTCTGAGGAAAATAGAAAGCACCCAAAAGAAGCTCAGACACACCTGAGAGGTGACGGCAGGTGATGGAGGATGATCAAGAAAACTGATCGATGTTTTCATTTTTAGTTCATTAATGAAACATTTGAACTGAAGTATTCGCTTCCAATGAGTTTGCTTCGTGTGTGTGTGTGTGTGTGTGTGTGTGTGTGTGTGTGTGTGTGTGTGTGTGTGTGTGTGTGTGTGTGTGTGTGTTTACAATCAGTGCAGATGATTTTGAGGTTTCATGTTTTTTCTCTCTTCATTGTGCTGCTGCTGCTGAGGCCCCGGCAGAGACGATCTCTGGCTGTGTGAGCCGTAATTTGTGGTCTTATAATAGCTCGACTCGACTTCCCTCCTCGGCCCGGGCCTCAGGAAACACACACACACACACACACACACACACACACACACACACACACACTGACTCATACATGCATGTATACACACTTTTGTCTTTGTTACAGTATTTTCTTTCGCTCTGCTCATGCCTTTTCCAGATGTCTTTCCCGGTCGACCTTTATTCCCAGCAGATAAGATGCAGGCGCGTAAACGAGGCTTTTGTTTCATTTTTATTCAAGAAAAGAAAATCTGGTTGTTTGGCTTCACAAAGACAAACTGTACATTATTTTTGGGGGGGCTTTCTTGAACCTTTTTTTTTTGAGGGATAGGACTCTGGAGAGATTCAGAAAGAGAGAGAGTGGGGAGTGACATGCGGGAAAGGAGCCACAGGTCGGATTTGAACCTTAACCGTCCGCTTGGAGGACTATACCCTGTGTAATGGGGCGTGCGCACTAACCACTGCCCCACCAGCGCCCCTTGCATGGCTTCTTTGATGAAATGATTGATTTAAGGGCTGCAGCGAGACGCAGAGTTTATTTCTCTCTCTCTCTCTCTTGTGTGTGTGTGTGTGTGTGTG